AAAATGGATCATTGGCCAGGTCGGTCAGTATCGGAACTTAAAATGCAAATGCCAGGGAGAACGGAAGCGCTCAGATCTCGCATAGTACACGGAATCAAGTGGTCTTGAGAAGAAGTGAACGAGGATGAAATGACTATGAACGAAGTGAGTACAAATAGGAAACCCTGATTGGGTTGTACCCCTTATGGGATACCCCACTATAGCCTACACAAACAAGTAAGCTATATGTTCTGACACACCCCCATAGGCAAAGTGGGGGAGAACAAGGGGTCACAAGACCAGTCAAGCAAAGCAAAGCAAAGCTCAGGGTGGATCACAAAGTCACCACGCATTCCGAGCACAAGTTCAAAGGCCAGAAGGCCAGTTCACATGCAAGATCATACATAGAGATATACAAGAGGCAAACAAGCAAGAACAAGAGTATATATAGGCGAAGGTACAAGCAAGGTCAAGAGGAGAGCAAGTGAGGCAAGACAGGCACAAGACCCAACTGCGTGCAACAACGCTGATGATCACAAGGCGCAAGTGCCTTGGTGAAGACATCAGCAGTGTTGGCCTCAGAGGCCACGTACACAAGTCGCAACTGTCCACGCTGCTGTAGCTCACGAGCAAGAAAGTAGCGGAGAGCAATGTGCTTCGTTCTGTGCTCCAGTCGCTGCTCTCGACACAAGGCCAGCATGGCCTTGTTGTCTACGTACAGGACTGGAGGAGAACGAGGCTGCTCTCCAAGGTCGGTCAGCAGGTAGGTGTCTCAGAATCCCAACCACTAGACCATTGGGATAAAAGGGCTTGTTTGAGTAGCGGGTCAGTGCGCCCATAACCCCCCAGGCAAATGTGCCTGTAACCCTTCCCTAGGATCGATCGGGGATCACCAGTGGACCTCTGACAAGGTGAGCCAACGTAACTCCTGCGCAGCCATAGCCCCAACGTAGATCTCAGCCTCACAACTGGAGCCGAGAACAGAAGACGAGCGGGTAGCCCGCCACGAAACAGAGCCGGAACCAAGGCTGAAGGTGTAATCCTGTGACGACCGCTGCGTAGCCTGGTCGTCAGCCCAAGAAGCGTCTGCGTGCCCAGTGAGGACCACTGGACTGCGCCCTCCAAGCACTAGCCCCATGCCCGACGTGCTGCACAAGTAGCGCAACACCCTCTTCGCTGCAGCCATGTGCTCTGGTTGGTGTCTCCCAGGAGCAACATAGCGTGCGAGAATGCTAAGAGGGTATGCAAGGTCAGGACGTGTGCAGGTCATCAGGTACATGAGGCAGCCAACAAGCTCTGCAAACGGGCCACTCGACTCTACGGACTCATCCGAAGGCAGAGCTGAGAGTGAGTGGCGAGTAGGCAGAGGAGTGGCCTGAGGCGAGGAGTACGTGAAGCCGAAGCGCTGAAGGACCTGCTGCACCATGTGTGACTGAGTCAGGGTAATGGTGCGGCGCGCTCTGTCCCGGGTGATCTGCAAGCCAAGGTAGCTACGCAGCTCACCCAGGTCAGTGCACGTGTGTCTCTTCTGCAGCTCGGACTTCACGTAGGCGAGTCCAGCAGTGTCAGCTGTGGCAAAGACCAAGTCGTCGACGTACACGAGGATGTAGAACGGCGGCAGAGAGGTGTCGGTGCGCAGAAACAGCGACGGGTCGGCAGTAGACGGAGCAAACCCAAGTGCCGCGAGCGTAGTCCTCAGTGTGTCGTGCCACTCACGAGGCGCCTGGCGGAGACCGTAGACTGGACGCCGGAGACTCCACTGGGTACCAGGAGGGAAAGACCCAGTGAAGCCAGGTGGGCGACGCAGCCAGATCTCCTCGTGCAGACTGCCCTGCAAGAAAGCTGTGCTGAAGTCGAGAGAGTGCAGCTCGTAGTCACGGTGAGCAGCAATGTGCAGCAGAACCCGAAGAGTAGTCATCTTCGGGGTGGGGGAGAAGGTCTGAAAGTAGTCAACCCCCTGCCGCTGACTGAAGCCACGAGCCACGTAGCGCGCCTTGAAGACAGGCGGTGAACCCGGCGGCCGCTTCACCCTGAAAATCCACATGCCACTGACGATGTTCGCCGCAGGAGGGGGAACAGCGTCGACGTAGGTGCCTGTGGACTTCCGGGAAGCCATCTCTGCATCCATAGCTGCCTGCCACTGAGAGGAGTAGGGACCCTCTATCGCCTCCGCGTAAGAGCGCGGAGTCGGGATGTCTGGTGCATCTGGGTCTCCCTCAGGGGCTAGCAGTACAGACGCGAGATGAGGTGAAGCGGCTGCCAGACACTGGAACTCCTCCTGCCTGTCCTCAAGGACGTCCGTGCCGAGGGCACACTCACCCCCGACGGACGGAGGACAGGCAGACGCAGACTCAGCGACAAGACTGGCAGCGTAGTCTAGACGACAGCGTGCAGCAAAGTCGACAAGCTCAGTGACAAGGGCAGACGCAGCAGACGACTCGAAGGAAGGGTCAGTGACAGCAGTAGCAAGAAGACGCGTGACAGTAGGACTGGCAGCACGAAGAGAGTCTGACTCCGGGTCGGAAAGAGCAGGAAGAGAGGAAGCAGGAGGAGAAGGCAAAGGGGCACGTAGAGGAGCAGTGGACGGACGCAGTGACATCCTGTGCGTGCCAGGAACAGGAGGAGGACGCTGACGCGACCCGCGACCACTAGCGCGCTCAGTACGAACAGGCGACGCAGGACGAGACGCAGGCTCACGACGCTCAGTAAGACCTCCAGTTGGACCAGCGTAGGGAGAAGGAGCAGGCAAAGGGGAGGCAGGCTATAGCTGTGGCTGCGACCGGACAGGCTGCGGACCCTCTAAGGGAGGAGGAGGAGGTGTAAGACCAAGAACCTGCTGCAGGAGCGGAACGAAGTACGGTCGGGGCCGCGCGGCGACGCCAGAAACAGCAGGAACAGCACCAGTACCCCCAGCAGGAGCACCCACTACAGTAGCACCTCCAGCAGCACCAGAACCTCCAGCAGCAGCACCAGGAGCACTGTCAGTCGGACCGCCAGCAGCAGGCACAGCGCCAACACCCTCAGCAGCACCAGCTCCAGGAGAACCCTCAGACCCAGTAGCTCCAGCACCCACTGTACGAGCACCTCCGGGACGCGCGGCAGCAGTACCCTCTGCAGCCGAAGAACCACCAGTACCAGCAGCACGCCTCCAGCGCCTGGCAAACCACTCACGCAGCTCCTGTGGGGAGAGTAGCTCCCGGCGAGACGAAGCACCCCCAGGCACAGCACCCCCAGGCTCAGCACCCCCAGGCTCAGCACCCCCAGGCTCAGCACCCCCAGGCGCAGCACCCCCAGGCTCAGCACCCCCAGGCTCGGCACCTCCAGGCTCAGCACCCCCAGGCTCAGCACCCCCAGGCACAGCACCCCCAGGCTCAGCACCCCCAGGCTCAGCACCCCCAGGCTCAGCTCCCGCAGCAGCACCGGAGTCACCAGTGACCTCGACAGGCTCGACCGCGTCTACCTGGGACACACTTGAAGGGGCAGGACCCTGAGGGGGGAGGGGGTCTACCGGGGGGGGACCTGGTACCAAGAAGAGCGGGGGTGGGGGGAGGGACGGAGTACGGTAGGGGAAGAGGCGGTAGTAGGGTACCGACTCGTCGAACGTGACGTCCTGGGAGGACAGAACACGTCGAGAGGTGGGGTGGTAGAACTGCCACCCAGGGGCGTCGGGGGGGAACCCCAGGAAGACGCAGGGAGCAGCGCGAGGGGACAGCTTGTCCGCAGACAAGTCGCGGACAAACGCCCGAGATCCCCAGACCCGGAACGCCGACGCATCGCCAACCTTCCCCGTCCACAGCAGGGCTGGGGAGGTCTCCGGCCTGGAGACCCTGGGGTGGAGGTTGATCTGATGCGCGGCGTACCTGACCGCAAACGGCCACAGAAAATGGGGGGCAGCCGCATGCATCATGGACGTACGGGCGACGTCCATGACCATGCCAATGCGGCGCTCAGCAATCCCATTTTGCTGTGGGGAGTCCGGAAGCGTGAAGGACTGGCGGATGCCTCGCGCACGACAGTAGGCACGCAGAAGGCCAGAGGAGAACTCTCCGCCTCTGTCCGAGTGCAGACGCAACACACGAAAGTCGGAGCCAAAGCTCTGCCTGAGCTGAAGACGAGCTGCGCGGATCCAGTCGATCAGCACCTCAGTGACCTCACCCTTGCTGCGCAAGGGGAAGACCGTGGTGTAACGCGAGTAGTCGTCAACAACGAGCAGGAAGTAGCGCTCCTGACCCTGTCCACGGACGCGGGCTGGGCCCCACACGTCCATGTGAAGCGTCTGCAACGGGGCCTCTGTCGGAGGAAACTGGGAGGAGTGAGGGGCAGCACGCTGGCGCCCCTCGACACAGGGGACACAGGCAGGGCAGGGCCCTGAGGAAGGGGAGGTAGAGACCGGGAGAGACTAGACACAAGAAGACGGGAGGCCATGCCTCTGAGCCGAAGCAGAGAGGGGTGGCCAAGGCGGTGGTGCCAGAGGAGGGTCTCGTGAGACAGACGACGACACGAACAGGGGGCAGACTCAGGACCAGACCTGGACGCTGCGGCAAACACCTGACCAGACGAGGGGACCCTACCAGACTCAGCACCTGGAGGAGAAGCAGTGGTCAGTGTGTACAGGCTCGACCCTGGCCGACGTGTAAACGTAGCCAGGTGGCGTCCCGTGCTAGCCTCCGTGCAGTGGGTCACTCGCTGACGAGCAGGAGTGAACTGGTGGACACCCGCATCCTGTAGGTCAGCACCACTCACCAGGTTCGTCGAGAACGAGGGGAGGTAGAGACCAGACAGGGTGCCAGAGGGGGCCGCCGGACACGGAAGGACCGTGGAGAAGCGAGACAGGACAGGCCCCCCAGAGGGGTCAGCCAGGGACACCGCAACCGGCCGACTCAGCGGCGTGAGAGTGGTGCGGTCCCGAAAGAAGGAGCGAGACGCTCCAGAGTCAAGGGTGAAGGTGTGAGAGGCCGAAGCCGACACAGTACCTGAGAGGGCAAACTCACCAGTACCTGAGAGCACAGACGCACTGGCACCTAGAGCAGCAGCCTCACTAGCACCTGACGCAGCAGTACCAATGCCCGGGTCGGGCGGGAAACACCGGTAACAGTCATCCTCATCACTACCAGTCACAGCATACATAGCAGAAAGAATAGCATCAAAGTCAAGATCAAAAATGGCTACACCAGCCCTAGACAGCTCCCCCCAGCGGGGGATCTCAGCGGCCTCCGGAAACTGCTGACGCCACGCGTCGGTCAGGCGGCCAAAGCAGCGGCGGGCTGCGTGGGTGCCTCCACACCTCTCCCCCGCACGGTCACCGGTGCGAAGAACGTAGGGGCAGGGACCAAACGCACCACCACGCTGACGCTGCAAGTACCACTCACGGAGCTGCTGAGGGGCGGGGACGGTGCGAGAGCGCTGCTGCTGCTGCTGCTACTGCTGCTGCTGCTGCTGGCGCTGGCCACCCCCAGAGCTGCTCCGCTGGGACGAGCCACTCCGACCCCCGCCGCCACCGCCACTCCCGCCTCCACCGCCACCCCCGTCTCCACCGCCACCGCCCCCACCGGTACCCTCGCCCCCGCCTCCTCCGCTACCGCCTCCGCCGCCACCTCCGCCTCCACCGCCTCCACCAGTACCTCCACTCCCGCCACCACCTCCACCGCCACCCCCACTCCCTCCGCCACCCCCACCTCCTCCGCCGCCACTGCCCCCTCTAGCTCCACCCGCTCCCTTGCCCCCCTTGCCCTTGCCAGAGCGGCGTCTACCGCTGGGGGCAGACGCCGCACCGACCGACTCAAAACCAGCGAGGTCGGCCGCAGCGGCAGAGGCGACAGAGGGCAGCAGGGGGGAAGGAGAACACCCCTCAAAGATGGGGGTGCGAGGGTCACCCCGAGAGGCCCCTACAGCGACGATGCTCTTCTCAACCGCTAGCAGGGACTCCTCAAGGAGGTCGACAATGAGGGTGGTGGGATAGACAGAGAGAAACTGGTCCCTAACGACACGAAGGGACTCAGGGAGACGGGTGACGAGAAAGTAGAGAGTGATGTACATGGGAGGAGGGTTTGCAGCGCGGAACTCAGCAGGAAGGGCAGCGCGGTAGCGAGCGTCACTAGCGCGGAGGTGAGTAACGAGGTCAGCGACAGTGGGAAAGGCAGCGAGGTCAGGGAAGAGAAACGGTAGCATGAGGCGGCTCAGCGTAGCGGAGGAAGGGGAGGAGTAGCGTGTAACTACAGCGTCGTACAAGGCCTGAGCGGTCTTGCACTGACTAAAGTGGGCACGCTCGGAGGAAGGGAGGTGGCGACGCACAGCAAGACGTGCAGCAGCATCGCGTGTGGCCCACTTGGAGGGAACAGCAGGGTCAGCATCAGCAGGAGGGGCAGGGACAGCTCCAGAGACAAAGTCAAAGAGAGAGACCTCATCGATCGCATCGCACAGTAAGTACAGCTGCAGGTCCTCAATCCAGACTGGAAAGTCAATGGCGCGACCCTCAGCGTCAAAAGACAGGACACTGGGGGTGGCCATTCCAGCAGCTGATTGTCTCACCGGGCTCGAAGAGTCGGGTAGCACAGCGGCTCAGCAACTCGGCAGAACAGCAGCTGCGCACGCCTCGGAGCAGCAGCAGCCACGCAGGAGCAGGAGCTCGGCTCCTCAGGTTGCCCGGGCGGCTCGGGCGGCTCGGGTTGCTGGGGCGGCGCGGGCGGCTCGGGCGGCTCGGGCGGCTCGGGCGGCTCGGGCGGCTCGGGTTGCTGGGGCGGCGCGGGCGGCTCGGGCGGCTCGGGCGGCTCGGCTGTACGGGCGGCTCGTGCGGCGCGGGCGTCGCGACGGGCGGCTCGCTGGCGGCTCGCGGGCGGCTGTACAGGCGGCTCAGGGACGGCGGCGCGGGCGGCTCCGGGACGGCGGGTGCACGGGAGGCTCGGCGGGCGGCGTACAGGCAGCTCACGGGCGGCTGCGACGGGCGGCTCGCGGGCGTCGGGCGCTAAGGCGCTGGGGCGACGACGGGCGGCGCTTAGGCGTCAGGGCGGGCGGCCGTAGGGGCGAAAGGGCGGGCGGCGCACGGGCGAGCGGCGCACGGGCGCTAGGGCGGGCGGCCGTCAGGGCGCTAGGGCGGGCTGCGCTCGGGCGCTAGGGCGGGCGGCGCTCTGGTGCTAGGGCGGGCGGCCGACAGGGCTCTAGGGCGCACGGCCGTAGGGGCGCTAGGGCGAGCGGCGCACGGGCGCTAGGGCGGGCGGCCGTCAGGGTGCTAGGGCGGGCTGCGCTCGGGCGCTAGGGCGGGCGGCGCTCAGGTGCTAGGGCGGGGGGCCGACAGGGCTCTAGGGCGGGCGGCCGTCAGGGCGCTAGGGCGAGCGGCGCACGGGCGCTAGGGCGGGCGACCGTCAGGGCGCTAGGGCGAGCGGCGCACGGGCGCTAGGGCGGGCGGCCGTCAGGGCGCTAGGGCGGGCGGCGCTCGGGCGCTAGGGCGGGCGGCGCTCGGGCGCTAGGGCGGGCGGCGCTCGGGCGCTAGGGCGGGCGGCGCTCGGGCGCTAGGGCGGGCGGCCGTCAGGGCGCTAGGGCGGGCGGCCGTCAGGGCGCTAGGGCGGGCGGCGTTCGGGCGCTAGAGCGGGCGGCCGTCAGGGCACTAGGGCGGGCGGCCGTCAGGGCGCAAGGGCGGCGGCGCTCGGGCGCTAGGGCGGGCGGCCGTCAGAGCACTAGGGCAGATCGAAAAAAAAAGGAAGTACGAGGGCCCGGAGCGCGCTCCGGGCAGAAAAAAGTTAAGCGGTAGCGGTGGTGGGCCCTACGAACAGTTCCCACAGGGGAACCTGCTCGATACCATGAGAAGAAGTGAACGAGGATGAAATGACTATGAACGAAGTGAGTACAAATAGGAAACCCTGATTGGGTTGTACCCCTTATGGGATACCCCACTATAGCCTACAGAAACAAGTAAGCTATATGTTCTGGCAGGTCTCACTCAAATAGAAAGTAGGAAATATATTCATCTAGTGAACGTAAGGGTTTGAAAGGTAACTAACGTACATGTGTAGAGAAAATTGTGCATCGGCCAGTCTGGCCGGCATTTCGCACTTATAGTGCAACTAGGGCCAAGGAGAACGGAAACGCTCATTTCTCAAAAAGTAGAGGGAATCTAGCGGTCTCACTCGATCAGAAGGTGGGAAATATATAAATCTAGTGAGCTAATAAGGTTTGAAAGGAATCTAATGCATATTTATATGGAAAATGGTGCATTGGCTAGGTCGGTCAGTATGGGAACTTAGAATGCAAATGCCAGGGAGAACAGAAGCGCTCAGATCTCGCATAGTACACGGAATCTAGTGGTCTAACTCAAATAGAAGGTAGGAAATAAATTCATCTAGTGAAAGTCAGGGTTTGAAAGGTAACTAACGCACATGTGTAGAGAAAATGGTGCATCGGCCAGTCTGGCCGGCATTTCGCACTTATAGTGCAAGTAGGGCCAAGGAGAACGGAAACGCTCATTTCTCAAAAAGTAAAGGGAATCTAGTGGTCTCACTGGACCAAAAGGTGGGAAATATATAAATCTAGTGAGCTAATAAGGCTCGAAAGGAATCTAATGCATATGTATATCGAAAATGGTGCATTGGCCAGGTCGGTCAGTATGGGAACTTAGAGTGCAAATGCCAGGGAGAACGGAAGCGCTCAGATCTCGCATAGTACACGGAATCTAGTGGCCTCACTCAAATAGAAGGTAGGAAATAAATTCATCTAGTGAACGTAAGGGTTTGAAAGATAACTAACGCACGTGTGTAGAGAAAATGGTGCATCGGCCAGTCTGGCCGGCATTTCGCACTTATAGTGCAAGTAGGGCCAAGGAGAACGGAAACGCTCATTTCTCAAAAAGTAAAGGGAATCTAGTGGTCTCACTCGATCAGAAGGTGGGAAATATATAAATCTAGTGAGCTAATAAGGTTCGAAAGGAATCTAATGCATATGTATATGGAAAATGGTGCATTGGCCAGGTCGGTCGGTATGGGAACTTAGAGTGCAAATGCAAGGGAGAACGGAAGCGCTCAGATCTCGCATAGTACACGGAATCTAGTGGTCTCACTCAAATAGAAGGTAGGAAATAAATTTCTAGTATACGTAAGGGTTCGAAAGGTAACTAACACACATGTGTAGAGAAAATGGTGCATCGGCCGGTCTGGCCGACATTTCGCACTTATAGTGCAACTAGGGCCAAGGAGAATGGAAACGCTCATTTCTCAAAAAGTAGAGGGAATCTAGCGGTCTCACTCGATCAGAAGGAGGGAAATATATAAATCTAGTGGGCTAATCAGGTTCAAAAGGAATCTAATGCATATGTATATGGAAAATGGTGCATTGGCCAGGTCGGTCAGTATCGGAACTTAGAGTGCAAATGCAATGGAGAACGGAAGCGCTCAGATCTCGCATAGTACACGAAATCTAGTGGTCTCACTCAAATAGAAGGTAGGAAATAAATTCATCTAGTGAACGTAAGGGTTTGAAAGGTAACTAACGCACATGTGTAGAGAAAATGGTGCATCGGCCAGTCTGGCCGGCATTTCGCACTCATAGTGCAACTAGGGCCAAGGAGAACGGAAACGCTCATTTCTCAAAAAGTAAAGGGAATCTAGTGGTCTCACTCGATCAGAAGGTGGGAAATATATAAATCTAGTGAGCTAATAAGGTTCGAAAGGAATCTAATGCATATGTATATGGAAAATGGTGCATTGGCCAGGTCGGTCAGTATGGGAACTTAGAGTGCAAATGCCAGGGAGAACGGAAGCGCTCAGATCTCGCATAGTACACGGAATCTAGTGGTCTCACTCAAATAGAAGGTAGGAAATAAATTCATCTAGTGAATGTAAGGGTTTGAAAGGTAACTAACGCACATGTGTAGAGAAAATGGTGCATCGGCCAGTCTGGCCGGCATTTCGCACTTATAGTGCAAGTAGGGCCAAGGAGAACGGAAACGCTCATTTCTCAAAAAGTAAAGGGAATCTAGTGGTCTCACTCGATCAGAAGGTGGGAAATATATAAATCTAGTGAGCTATTAAGGTTCGAAAGGAATCTAATGCATATGTATATGGAAAATGGTGCATTGGCCAGGTCGGTCAGTATGGGAACTTAGAGTGCAAATGCAAGGGAGAACGGAAGCGCTCAGATCTCGCATAGTACACGGAATCTAGTGGTCTCACTCAAATAGAAGGTAGGAAATAAATTTTTAGTATACGTAAGGGTTTGAAAGGTAACTAACACACATGTGTAGAGAAAATGGTGCATCGGCCGGTCTGGCCGGCATTTCGCACTTATAGTGCAACTAGGGCCAAGGAGAATGGAAACGCTCATTTCTCAAAAAGTAGATGGAATCTAGCGGTCTCACTCGATCAGAAGGTGGGAAATATATAAATCTAGTGGGCTAATCAGGTTCAAAAGGAATCTAATGCATATGTATATGGAAAATGGTGCATTGGCCAGGTCGGTCAGTATGGGAACTTAGAGTGCAAATGCAATGGAGAACGGAAGCGCTCAGATCTCGCATAGTACACGGAATCTAGTGGTCTCACTCAAATAGAAGGTAGGAAATAAATTCATCTAGTGAACGTAAGGGTTTGAAAGGTAACTAACGCACATGTGTAGAGAAAATGGTGCATCGGCCAGTCTGGCCGGCATTTCGCACTCATAGTGCAACTAGGGCCAAGGAGAACGGAAACGCTCATTTCTCAAAAAGTAAAGGGAATCTAGTGGTCTCACTCGATCAGAAGGTGGGAAATATATAAATCTAGTGAGCTAATAAGGTTCGAAAGGAATCTAATGCATATGTATATGGAAAATGGTGCATTGGCCAGGTCGGTCAGTATGGGAACTTAGAGTGCAAATGCCAGGGAGAACGGAAGCGCTCAGATCTCGCATAGTACACGGAATCTAGTGGTCTCACTCAAATAGAAGGTAGGAAATCAATTCATCTAGTGAATGTAAGGGTTTGAAAGGTAACTAACGCACATGTGTAGAGAAAATGGTGCATCGGCCAGTCTGGCCGGCATTTCGCACTTATAGTGCAAGTAGGGCCAAGGAGAACGGAAACGCTCATTTCTCAAAAAGTAGAGAGAATCTAGTGGTCTCACTCAATCAGAAGGTGGGAAATATATAAATCTAGTGAGCTAATAAGGTTCGAAAGGAATCTAATGCATATGTATATGGAAAATGGTGCATTGGCCAGGTCGGTCAGTAGGGGAACTTTGAGTGCAAATGCAAGGGAGAACGGAAGCGCTCAGATCTCGCATAGTACACGGAATCTAGTGGTCTCACTCAAATAGAAGGTAAGAAATAAATTCATCTAGTGAACGTAAGGGTTTGAAAGGTAACTAACGCACATGTGTAGAGAAAATGGTGCATCGGCCAGTCTGGCCGGCATTTCGCACTTATAGTGCAAGTAGGGCCAAGG